GTGGAGAGCATTCACTCAGTATCGTTATCTCATTTTTGACCAAGTTGGCTTTTAGAGGCTTTTGCATTGGAACTCTTCATATATATATATATATGAAATCTGTTTGAATTCAAATCAACCCCTGAGACATGAAAGTGCCTACAAGATGAAGAAATGTACACATAAACGCTCACACCATTCAGACTTTACGTTTCTCTGCACACACATACACACATTCATTTATTGACCTCCATTTCTCATCTTTAATGTTTATTGGCAAAGAAATAATTGATCACATATTGGTAAACTCATTTCCTTAAGTGAGAGGAGAGGAAGGGTAACTTCTCTATGCCCAACATTCAGATGATTGAATTTTCAGAAGAAACAGACTCGTATTGGCTGAGAGAGTTTCAGTCATATGAACTGAAATGGAGTACTTTGGGTTGTAATGATTTAGAGGGTGATTTGTATTGACTGACAGTTTCGCAGCACTAATGTTTCAGTGTTTTAGTATGACATCACTGTCCTTGCTCTCTCTCTCTGATTGAGTCCTTACTGAACGAGAGACAGTGGCCGCCTCTGGCGCTTTCAACATTGCTGGGCTTTTTTTGAACTTACAAATACTGAATGATAAGTTTGAAAAGTGACGTGCAATTAACGGAGAATTTGCGAATATTCAAAAAGGCAGCAGCAAAATGGAATTAATTTGAGCAGATAGGGTATCGTGGAAGACAACAAGCGGCTTTTAGCGGAAGGACGAAGCGTTTTAAAATGGAATGAAAGCACTTTTGGTGGCTGCTTCTGTGTTGTACATTGAACGTTTGAGATTGCATTGTGGGAAGAAACAATTTGAAATGACCCCGACGTGTGTACAGAGGTGATTAAAAATGTGCATTCATTAAGACTTGAAACGTGTTTCAGAAGACTGCTTACTGTGAGATTACATACGTTTGCATTATAAAGCTACCAGAGAACAGTGTATATAAATAGTGACTGTCTACTTACATTTTTCTTAAAGGAAAAAAACTGGAAATTTAATAGGGATTGGTCAGCTAGTCCAACAACTGACTAGTGACAACTGACCCCTCATTCAATTTTAACTTTTATTTTAATTAATTTTATTGATAATTACAACAATCATTATTTCTAGTGCTGTCAAACGATTAATCACGATTAATCGCATCCAAAATACAAGTTTTTGTTTACATAATGTATGTGTGTGTGTACTGTGTATGTTTATAACGTATATATAAATACACACATACATACAGTTTATATTTTGAAAATATTTACATTGCACACATTACATTGTATATATTTATGTTTATATGTAAATTATTTATATTACAGATAAATATATTTCATATATAAACATGACATATTTTTAAATATATACTGTATGTATGTGTATTTATATATAGATAATAAATATACACAGTACACACACATATATTATGTACACAAAAACTTTATTTTGGATGCAATTAATCACGATTAATCATTTGACAGCACTAATATTTCACATTTATTTATTCTTTAATCATTTTCATCATTTCATATTTAAATTTCTTTAATTGTATTTTCTTAAATAATTTTATTTTCAGTAGAATCATTAAAAATTGTATTTTCAGTCAGTTCATTTTATTATGAAAATGATTAATAAAATAAACTGACTGAAAATAAAATTGTAATTATTTTATTATGAAAATGATTAATAAAATAAACTGACTGAAAATAAAATTAGAATTATTTTATTATGAAAATGATGAATAAAATAAACTGACTGAAAATAACATTTTAAATGATCAATGATTCTACTGAAAATAAAATTATTTAAGAAAATACAATTAAATAAATTGAAATATGAAACTATGAAAATGATTAAAGAATAAATAAAAGTGAAATATTAGTGCTGTCAAACGATTAATCGTGATTAATTGCATCCAAAATAATATTTTTGTTTACATAATATATGTATGTGTACTGTGTATATTTATTATGTCTATATAAATACACACACACATACATGTATATATTTAAGAAAGTATGTTATGTTTATATATTAAATATATTTATCTGTAATATAAATAATATAAACATATACATATACATATACATGTAAATATATGTAAATATTTTAAAAATATATACTGTATGTGTGTGTATTCACTCAGCACTGGGTTGTATTTAACCCAGCATTTTTTAGAGTGTACTTTCTTAATTTGTTTGATTTTTAAAAAATCTTCCATTAATTATTTTCATAATCATTGATCCTAGTTTTCAACAAGCTGCAGAATTATCCGTACTCAATACACAGTGCATTTTACATTATCAGCTGTGAGATTTGTCTAATCTCGAAGCGCCTCTTGTTTATATATTATGCATCCGTAAAAGAGCCTCTGCGGTTTGCTGCACTGTGTAAGGTTGCAGAGCGTGATGCGCAGGGCAACTGAACCTCCTGCAATGTTTATGAAACGTGGGCTCTGCCCACCCATCACCCCCCCAAACACTTCCCACACAAAAGCCAATGAGAGAAATTATTGCGCTACAAAGCAGTTGTACACTTTTATGGCTTTGATGCGGAGGCTACCTCCCGTCGGCCAGAGCATCTGCTTCACTGTAATCGCTCTCAAAGCAATAAAACGGACTAACTCTCCTCTGCATCCCCCCGGAGCTCACTGCTGCTGCTGCACGCTCCCATCTCTCATTCAGCGGCACTTACTGTTGTTCCGTTTTCATCTAGCCCTCCACCCTTCATCGTTCTAAATGAAAGTGCATAGTCTAAGTTGTTTATCCTGTAAATATTCAGGCTAAATACATCTCATATTTATTTTCCTCAGGACACATTCTACACATCAAAGTGAAGCTCTTGCAAATATGCAAACATGTATGCGGCATATTTCAAAAATGGCTGTCAGATGGGCTGCCTGGCATGGAAGGAGAATGAAATAAAATGTGACTAATGAATATTATTGTTTTTTTTTTTAATGCTGCATTTTTAAATACTGCATTTAAATGCTGCCTTTTATATACGTATATATGATTCTGATACTAGTGAATTATAGATAAACATTATTGTATTTTAACAAATGTATGTTAACCTTACAAATATGAAACATTTCAGTAATGGGAAGGTAATGTCTTCCTTTATAAATACAATAAATTTGTAAGTAAATTGTAGAGTTCATTTTGCTGTATTCCGCTCTTTTATATAGTAAGACAGCTGTGGTGCACTGCGTGAACGCAAGACATATCCAAGATGACAAAGAGTCAAATGGAACAATCCTTTTCACCTTTCTACATCACGCAAACCCCTTCCTTAAATCTTAATTTTGATCAGCCAAATGAAAGATTCAGTGCTCCTATTAGGCATTTATATGATCTCCTTTTGAAAACCTGTAATGTTAAAGAATGGAGCAGCTTTCACAAACCCCCTCTCTCTTTCTTCCTCTCAACCATTTCAAATTAAGCCTCTTAAAAGTCATTTTCTCCACCGACGCCCTATTAAACTTAATGATCATTTAACAACAATACAAAGCTTTCTGTTTTCACCCAGCCTCAGAGGTCTGTATGCCTCCCGTGGTTTGGTTATTACTCATTGTTAGAGTTTGGGGCTAATTGCAGGTGTAGATGGAGGTAGGGAACCATTCCTCACAGCTCCGATTAGTTGAGACTTATAGTTCATTTGGCAGTTTATTACACGGCGCTCTGGAATACTTGATCCTGATTGGTCAGTCGTGGCATTCTGCAGTCAAATATTACATTGTATAACTGCATATTTGACTGTCCCTAGCAACACTGAGCTATTTTTTGTATCAGCCTGTTGTGTCTTTGTTCTCACACATTAAAACAATTTCACCTCAAATCAATCGTTTGACCATTTAGTTGCTTATTTCAAAAGTAGCCGTGTAATCACCCCGAGGGGGGTTATTTTGCAATAATGGAGTTTAAAGGGGTCATATCCTGCCATTTTGCATTTTATTTTTCCCCAGAAATCTACATTTTTGTACTACCAAACATTTTTAGTTTAGTTTTGCTTGATAATTTTTGCCTCTTATGTTTTTTGCTACTGTAGCTTTAAGGCATTTATATGTAAATTACATCTTTATGATTGGTTAATCTCAGCATACTGACAAAGTTCACACTGTCGTGCATCAGGGTAGGCCAGATTGCTGAATTTTGAATAGGCGTTAATGTATATATGTGGGCGGCATGTTAATGTGCTCGTGATGGTGATGTTACAGTACATCAAACCCTTTATTTCAAAACAGCATGAAAGGCCTGTTTTTTAATGTACATAATATACCATTTATTAATAATATATTATTTCTATAAATATTATTCATATTTTATTTTTTTATAGTTCACATTTGTCAAGTTTTAGTAATGTTGTGCTTTGAGGATTTTTATTCATTTTTGTTTTTATTAAATACTTCTATTTAGCCTTCATTTATTTCATTCATGTATTAGATTTTCTCATTTTCATAAGTAACTAAGTTTATGTTTTTCATCTAATATTTGTTTTATTTTTAGCTTTGTTTCAAGAACAACAATTTTTTTGTAACACTTTATTTTAAGATGTCTGTTACACGTTAAGTGTATTATAATAACAATTCATTATGCATAATTACATGCAACCCTAGTCCTAACCCTAACCATATAGTAAGTACTTGTAGTTAATTAATATTACTCAGTACTTACATGTATAATTACACTATAACAAGGACACCTTAAAATAAAGTGTAACCCAATTTTTGGTATCATTTTTACAGTGTCCTTGTAACTCAAGATACATGTACTTACTATAGTAACAACAATAAATTATGCATACATGCAACTAACCCTACAGACTGTTGTTAATTAATCTTACTCGGTACTTAAATGTACAATTACACTGTAACAAGAACACCATAAAATAAATGTATAGTTTTAGTTCAAAATAACTACACTGTTCCAAACCTGTTTAACTATTGTTCTTCTGTAATGGTTCCTCATGTGTATACTGTATGTTTTCTTCACAGTGCCAGGTTTCCCATACCCAGCAGCCACGGCGGCAGCGGCGGCGGCGTACAGAGGGGCACACTTAAGAGGAAGAGGGCGCACCGTCTACAATACGTTCCGGGCAGCTGCGCCTCCCCCACACATCCCAGCCTATGGGGGGTACGTAACTACACTCCCTTCTCACATACACACACACACACACTAGTTCACCTTTAGTCCTCTCTTCTGACAACCACTCCCCCTCGTCGCTGGGCTGCTGTAACATGCATGCATCTCTACTTCAGCACACACAACCAATGCAGCATGAAACCCGTGCATCCTGCAAGTAATGATGACAGTCAGCTGCCATGCTGTTCTATCATGGTCGATGGCCTTAAGCGTTCCTTTTTTGTAATGTAACATTATGTAAATCCTCTCGAACTACTAAATGCAGAAGGATTTGTGATCTCTGAGCAGACAAATGATGTTTCTGATTAGTTTGGTTCTGATTTCATGAGTGTAACTGCAAGCTAATAATATTGATGGAGGTTCTGTGGAGTTTTGAGGTGTCAGGGGCCACAGACTACAGTAGTTTCCACAATCTGTCTTGTGTAAAATTGACAAACGCGACGGTTAGAAGAGATTCACGGCAAAAAAAATCTATTTAACACATAATCAAAGCTAAATAAAAACATGCCACTTAAACTGTGTGATAAAAATAAATCTAAAGGAAATATCAGTGCTTGTAAGTCATTAATAGAATTTTTTTGATTTTTTATATGGTTTTTAGTCTTTGGATTTGCCAAGTCATAAAACTACCCTAGTAAAAAAGTAATATATTTAAAATACTTTTATTTCATACTAAGTGTAGTTCAAATGTATTAACATATTTACTGACAGATAACTCGAGACTTACTGATATAAAACATTTTAATGAATCTTTATTTGGAGTATTACTTAAGCTTAAAATGTGTTTTAATGTCACTTTTGATGAGGATTGTATGATCTTTGAATGCAAAATATTTAAAGTGTACCTAAAGTGCTTGCAATAGTTCCACTTTAGCACAATCAAATATATTAAGTGTATCTTTAGTTGGATTTCAGCACTACTTCCGCACAATTAAAGTGCATTAAGTACAAAATTAGTTTAGCAATTTAGCAGACTTGAAGTATACCAGTTTAGTATAGTAAAAGTACAGTTGCGGGGCATTTTATTGCATACATAAAGATGAAAATGTATTTGAAGTATACTTAGCATGAAATAAATGTATTTCAAATACATTTAACTATATTTATTTTTCACTAGGGTAAACACAAGATTGTATTTTATTAGAGGACATCTTAAAATAAATTGCCTCTAAAGTTTCTGAAAATGTAGACTTTTTTTGTTGTTCAAACATACGTTTAATTATTTAAGGCATCAGTTACAGGGTAAGTAAAATTATTATGGATTTGCAATATTTTGCATATATTTAACAATATAATATAATATAATATGAAACCTTTTCCAACGTATGAGCTATGGCAATTTGAATAGCTTTCAAACTGCCATTTGATGTGAAGCAGCAACAGCAATCTGTCATGCCACATTAAAGAGTGTCAAAATGACATGTATTATTTGAATCTAATGAAAAAAACTGATATATTTGAAAGCTGAGACTTTGTTTTATCAAAAAACGTTTTTGAATTGCTGCTTTTGAATGTGTCTGTTTTTGCTCTGCCAATGCAAATAGACCACAACTGTTGTTGAATCAGTGTTTTGAACAAATCTGTTGAGTGAATAATTAAATGACTCATTCTTCAACAATCATAAAAGTCCCTTTTTCAGTTCAGTGTTTAAACCAATTTGGTTCAATGAATTCCCATTAAGACAGTCACTTGTTGCCACCTACTGGTATGTCAATGTAACCTGCAATAAAAGTCAATGAGTTATTCCCACAATTAATGCATAGTATGATATAAACACTGAGAAGTCTTGGTGCTGTTGGACTATTACCGGGGACTGGAATTATTGTTGCATAATGTTACATATGCACATATAAAGCACTTGAAAAGTTTTATTATTCTGTATTATATCCCCCTGTGGAATCCTTTCAAGTAGCTCAGGCCATCAAGTGGTCGTGGCAGGCAAACACACTCTAGTAAAAGTATGAGAATCTCACCATGCGCATCAATAACCATGATAAACTCAGCATGTCCACATGCACTCCAGGCAGATACAAGCAGTCAGGAGTCAGTGGAGCTCTATCTATTCCTCTTTCTCTTTGTGAGTCATAATGATAAATTGTGGCCGATCTCCAGATGCGCATCTCAACATTAAAGTCGTGACCACTGCTCTCACCGCACCTGCACACCCTGTCAGTTTCCCTGAGGTTAGTTGACCAAGCCTAATGGAGCTTCAGAGACATGTAGATGCCCACGGCCCCCGTCTGTCAGAGATGACAGCACTGGTAACTAAGGGGCCCCGTTCAGCCATCCCGCTCTGCAGCTCATCACACCGGCTTTAAATACAGCCCAGATGCATCACGGCCGTGTGTCAGGCTCAGTGTTGCGCGAGTAAATGAAATGGTTTGTTAAGGGGCCGGCCATGCAGTGGGAGTGTCGAATTACCCGGTGAGTCATTATGGAAGGAGTTAGAGGACGGAGGTGAACTGCGAGGAAGTGGGAGGGTGAGGAACATGAAGAAAGTTGTGAGAAGGAGCTGCTGTTATGTATGTGTAAGTGCATGCAGGGAGAGGGAGGGTGGTAATTACTTCAGCCTGAAGGCCTGGTGTGGAGAACAGCAGGGTCAGGAGACCAGTAAGCCCTGGAGGAACCGAGGAAGAGCAGAGGTGTACAGATGGCCTTATCGGTTAGTGTTTTCTGTGGACTGATAATAGGAATGGTAAAGGAAGCTGTGCCTCCTCAAAAAATAAATGGATTAAGGAAAAAATCACCAGTACAACAATACAAAAAATATTAGAAAATACTATATTTCATCACATAAGCAAGAGTGCACTTTTGCTGAATATTTAGTCAAAAAAAAAGATTTTGCTCTAGTTCCAGGGAGTACTTTGGAAAGGCTTTTATTTTATTTTTTTTATTTCTTGCTTTCTGTGCTTCCCAAACTATGAGTACTTAAGCAGCTCCTAGGGGGTACTTTGTATTTATTTTAATTTTTTATATTAATATAATATATTTATATATTTTAATATATTTATTTAAAATATAATATATTTATATATATTAGTGCTGTAAAGCGATTAATCACGATTAATCGCATCCAAAATAAAAGTTTTTGTTTACATAATGTATGTGTGTATACTGAATATATGTATTATGTATATATAAATACACACACATACAATATATATTTTGAAAATATTGACATGTATTTACATGTACAGTATATATTTGTATTCATATAATTGATTTTATATATAAATATTTTTAATATGTAAACAACATATTTTTCTTAAATATATACATGCATGTGTGTGTATGTACATATACATAATAAATAAACACAGTACACACACATATATTATGTAAACAAAAAAGTTTATTTTGGATGCTATTAATCACGATTAATCGTTTGACAGCACAAATATATATTTATAATATATATTTTTAATATATTTCTTTGGTTAATAATATGTGTAGCACTTTATGTGTACATATTGTAATATGCCACACATATTACAATATGTGTGGCACTTTAATGGAGGAAAGAAAAAAGAAATAAAATCATCCTAGCAAAATTGAAAACTTAATTTTCATCTGTTTTGAATTTTATTATTATTATTAAAACTCAATCAAGTGTGGAATAAAATCAAAGAAAAATTACAGGAAGTATGGTGACAAGTTAAGGATATGGAAATAAATATAAGTCATTTAGATAAATATTGTTATAATGATGAAACCATTTTTAAAGTGCAAGTATGATCATTTGTGCTGATGACAGCCTGTGCATCCAGACAGATGTACATTTTTGATTTAGTTTTTAAAAAGGGGTATGGGCTGTGGGGGTAGATAAGACAAAACTGGTTGGGAAACACTAAATTAGAGAACAGGAACTAATGGTTATATAATACAAAATTAAAACAAAAGTCCAGAGCACAGTAATGGCCGTGTGGGAGTATTTCAAGAAGACAGCTATTTCTCGTCATTGACTATGAAAAACGCTGCTCAAATCAGCAGGCATATGCGCTTTTGACTACATGTGTTTGTTTGGCTTTTTTTGCCTTACTGAACATCTGATGTTACCGTTCCACATGTTGAAATTATTCCTTTCTCCGTCGTTGGCAAAAAGAAGTAGTGTAGTATGACAGCGCTACATAATTAATCCTCAGATGTATGCATGAGAGGAATAAGAAAGTAGGTTGAGTCACCAACATAAGGCTGCTGCTTTGTAATTAGATTATGCATATTTAATAGCTATGATTATGACATGTGCGTCCCCTCTTTTGGAGCATGCGGTGAATCGCGAGTGCCGATGCCGTGATCTCCGAGCGAATGAATATGGCATTTTCGTGTGCCGCTCTCTCCAAAAGCACTCCATGCCTCTTCATCTCCATGAGATTCAGTCGTACAGTCTCTGTCACAGCACATAACATCAAACCGAACCTCCTCCTCCTTCCTCTCCCCCCCCCCACCCTCACACTTTTATTTCACGCAAACACATTTTATAAAAAGTCCAAACAGCTGTTGTCAATGTGCCCATGTGAGCGAGTGTGTGTTGTGTTTCTAGGGTGGTTACGCTGCCTACCGATACACTCAGCCTGCTACTGCTACCGCCGCTGCCTACAGTGACAGGTAAGACACACACCGCTGCCTGCACACCACTGACAACTCCTCCTTACCAGGCCCTCCGGCGGGGCCCTTAACACCCACCCACCTCCCCCGCCGAGGCGGCCTCGTTCTCTCTCAACCTTTACTCCTCTGAGGTCAAACTCTCTCCCTTCGTCACGAGCAGAGGCAGGCGCACGCAAAAAAAAGAAAAAAAAAGCCAGCCTGATTTATTAGCCTAATTCCCCTTGCCAGTGGTGATGGGTAATATCACGGTGCCCAGTGCAGTAATTGACAAATTAAATCAAATGAGATGTCACTGCAAATGTAATGGTGAAACGCATCCATGGCGGAGCAACTGTAACTGCAGAATGAAGTGGGATAGACCTGACAGTTCCTCAGAGATGAGACAAAAGCCTGTTTGGCAGGGCGACCAGAGGAAGTCGTCTTGGCTGATTTTGATTTCCTTTTCTTTTTCTCTGTCTCTGTCTCTCTCTCTCTCTCTCTTGTCAATTGTGAGTGTAAGCTTATTGCAGATGGCACGCAATCAAGAATAAAGCAAATTCGGAGCCTTGATGTGATTGTAAAACATTCGCATGACACGAAAGCATTTCTGCTCATGACTGTTAATGCCAAATAATGATCGTAATGCTGTCATCCGACATGTAACAACTGATATTGTGCAGCCATAACTAGATGAAGCAACACTTGATTATCATGTCATCTTAGCAGTGCTGTCATAATCTGTCAACAGTGTCCCTGCATGCCTCTTGATAAGTTGTGTGCTGTGAATCTCACCCGACCGGTTGTGAGTGGTGCTCATCATCATTACATCATGTTTATGTAATCATCACGGGAGCGTTTGTGCGTGCGTAGATCCCGGTGTCCATGGTAAAGGCGGATCACCCCATGCGAATGGGGACAAAACGCGCCCGAGCGCACTTTCTGATGTCTGCCGGCCGTGAGCTGCATGTCGTAGTGTTTGTAATTGCTGCCAGGCTTAAGATCAGTGTGGTTTCATAAACTAATAACCACATGTGTCCTCCTCACACGCAGGGACTTCTCTGGATAAATACAGTAGACTGTCCTCAGAGATTAAAGTCAGACCGTCCTAAGAAACCACGGTATTGATTCCAAGGGCCCTTGTTGCTTTTCAGTGGCTTCTTGTTATGAGAAATCTTTTATGGTATAGCAGTAATCTGATTTTCTGTTGGTTCGATTATTCTCGGCGTAGGCAATCATGTAATGATCCTAAAATAAATGGTACAGAATCCATGTTAAATAAAAACAGAAAAGATGGACAGTGCCATTCAAAAGTTTTGGGGTCGGTATATTTTTAAAAGAAGCGTTATATGCTCACTTATTCTATTTTAAAATCTAATTCATTTCTGTGATGCAAAGCTGAATTTTCAGCATCATTACTCCAGTCTTCAGTGTCACATGATCCTTCAGAAATTATTCTGATATACTGATTTGCTGCTTTTTTCTTATTATTATCAATGTTGAAAACAGTTGTGCGTCTCAATAAAAAACTGTAATGCATGTTTTTAAAGATTCTTTGATGAATAGAAAGTTCAAAAGAACAACGTTAATTTTAAACATTTTTTGTAAAATTATAAAATGATTTTACTGTCAATTTAATGCATTCTTGCAGACTGAAAGTATTAATCAAAATCAAACATTTGAATGGTACTGTAGATACAGTCAGGAACATTATAGAGTTCATGTTTACATTTATTCATTTATAATTGAGCATAACTTTAAAAATAGCTGTACTGCTTTGACATGTTTCTGACCATATCTACATCTTTTCTGTTTTTATTTATCATGGATTCTGTTCCATTTATTGGGCAATAAATAAACTGTTGTGACACTACTGTACATTTAGTGACATCAGAGTTTTTTGTGGTGCTGAATAGGCTAAGCATCAGTATTTTTATTGCTCATACTTATTGATTTGAAAAATCCCCAATCCTCAGTATCAGACATTTACACATAACTTGCCCCACACCGCTTGTGCTACAGACGTGAATGATGTGTTTCAGCTATTGCTTTTAATACAGATCTTAGTCTCTCTTTCATTATGTTCTATGAACCCCCACATTGCCTGTGGTTCAGTTTGTATTAAAAATGTAGTTATACTAGTAGACATAGTCATTGCCTTGCCAGTGGGCAGTGCTAATGCTAATGCTCGAACTGATTAAATTCAGAAAGTTTCCTTAATGTTGTTTAGCTCTCTGCAGAAACCTGCTTGATTGATTATGCAAGTGAAGAGGTCTCTCAATAACATTTGAATTATTTTGTTTACCTTTAGACACATTTTGAGAATAATAGCAGCTTTGGGAAATTGAAACCGCAGCCCGACATACAAATTAGGTCCCCGATACAAATTCCAGCTAAATTAGTTTGCATAAGACTAGTCTTTCATAATAGTGATTATAAATGATTGTTATTGAGAAGTCATACATTTTTTACATTTTTCGGATTCAAAACCATTGAATTATTCATTTGCAATGTAAATGACTTATAATCTCTCTTCCCTTATAAAAATAAATTATTCATGTCTCAATGAGTAACGTTTTTAGACAGTTGGAGTTTAATCGTTCAGTCTGCCTCCATTAAAATAACCTCTCAGCGCTGTTAGATGTTATCACCTCGTGTGAAAGATATCATCTCTGATCTCCGCTAATCCTGCGCGTGTTTTGACTGCAGTTGATCTCTTGCCTTCCATGGTGGCGGATATCAGTACCCCAAAGCTTTATCTTAACAGACTGGCGCACTCTGACACCCTGCCGTCCCGACGCCGGTCTCATTAGCCATTAGCCATCGCATCTGGTTGCTGCTCTTTGTCGGAGCTTCACTTGCTCTCTGTCAGAGATGGCCAGGGTCAGCCTCAGATCTGGAGGTGCTGCTGGGAGGCGGAGTCCGGGTCAGGGCTGCTTCTTTCTCTCCAGTAGCCTTTTAGAGCTCAAGGCTCAGCCGGTCCCATCTGAACAGCTGCGGGCCGGGGGCACATGGGTCAGGAGTACACGGTAGCCTCGCTTCCTACAACCCACCATACTAGCATCAGCTGAACTCTGTCCCTGCGACACTTGTTCGGGAAAGGTTGAAGTGGCCCGTCGTGCGTGTTTCTGGCGCTCCCTGGACCGAGTTGAAACCCTCAGGGCTGGGGGAGCAGCTGTGCAGGAAGCTAAAGCAACTCTTTAAACTCTTGTATGAAAGGGCATTTATTTAGTTTATTTGCAAATTATGCTGCTAACACATACCAGGCATGCTCACGGGTGTAAAAAGCACTGAGGAAGTATACTTGATGGACAGTATGGGACTCTACACAATTAAAAATCAATGTATCAAGCTAAAAACATGCTTCAGGGAAAGTTTTTCTAAGTAAATTAATTAGTAATTCATCTCTTTATAAGGATGAATATAATCATGAATACAGTTACGTGAGCAAATTACGTTTTATTTAAAACATTGAAGGAAGACTGACTTTTTAAAAAACTTTGACTTGAATGCTTTCATTTAGCAAGGTCGCATTAAATTAATCAAAAATGATTATGAAGACATTTAGAATGTTATCAGTTTTTTTTTTTAGCTTCCCTTTCTTCTGAGAATCCTGGAAAAATGTATGACTGTTTCCACAAAAAATTATTACATTACATTAATTATTATAAGAAATGTTTCTTAATCACTAAGTCAGCATATTAGAATAATTTCTGAAGGATCATGTGACACTAAAAACTGGCGTAATGACGGCTGAAAATTCAAATTTTATTTTAAAATATATTCAGGTAGAAAACAGTTCTTTTGAATTGTAATAATATTTCACAATATTTCTGTTTTACTGTATTTATGATTAAATGCAGCTTTGGTGAGTATAAGAGACTTACTTCAAAACATTATACTCACTGACCCCATATTTTTGAATAGTAATGTATATTTGTTTTAAAATAAGAATAGATTTACGTCATGATGACTACTGAAATATGTACTTGATACTTTGACTTAAAAGTATAATGTTTTCATTAGAAATGTAATTAAGTAGCAGTGCAAATATTTAGTTTCAGGTAAAGTAAACATTTCTCAAAACGATTCTTATTTGTATGAAGGAAGTACCATTACTCAAGTGATTTACACCCCTGAATGTGTTGGCCAGATGTCTGCATTTTGGTTGGAAGTGCCTGTGACCATTGATTGTCATTACGAAGAGAGGAAACTCTGTGAAATATATTAGTTTAATGTTGAATATTAAATAAATACAGAATGGCAGTTGAAATATTATATAACAATAGGTGTGATGTAGTCCAGTGTACTATTGCTTGTGACTTTAGCGTCTTCATGAAGTGCATGTTTAGTCTGTAATGTGTATGGATGGTCATATCTGAAGCCAATACATATCTAATTTTGTAAGGCACTATGAGTTATAGATAGTGCACCATTTAATGCATGTGTTCAAATGCATGTCTGCATTGAGCTTTACTCCCTATAGAATATATGTGTGAGTGTAACTGTGTGTGCGCATTGGGACGGTCAATTCTGTCATGCCGAATAGAACATTGTATTCAAAACAAGCACCCTAACATGATTAAGAGGGCCGATTCAATCAGAATGCTTAGTAGGAGTGAATGATTAATTTAGTTATTAAATATAGCTCCAAGCGGCAATTAAAAGGGGGCCTAGCAATATGGCGGCCAATGTCTCTAATTAGACGTGAGATCAAGCCATAACACATCATTTGTCACACCTGTGCAGTTCAACCAATGATACAGCTCATTCTACTTGTGTTTGTTTACCCAGAATGCACCATTTACCCACATCCTGTTTGTATTCTAAAAATCCTTAGAAAATGTTTTTTTTATGTTTAATTTAATTTCATTTATTTTTATTTGTTATTTACAAGAGGGCCGAGGATTATACTCTAGTCCTTTCTATGCTGTATGTTTCTGCTGTTAAATAAATGTAAATGAAATATGTGTTTACAGTTCACAAAGATTCAAGGTGCACTCGGTAATTTTTTAGTAGTTTTTTGTTGTTATTGTTGTTGCATATTGAACTTACTGACACCTAGTGGGGCAGATGCAGTATCACTCAAAAGTTTATTGTTACTATTCGCAGTAAGCCATGATGACAACATTATTTTAAAATTAAATGATGTGACGTCAATATGTCATTTGCCGATAATATATATTTTTTAAATCAATTTTTCTCTGTAGTCTGTAATGGAAACAGGATATTTAACTAAAATAAAATCAAATAAAGTGTAGGGTGAGATTTGTTTAATCGATTGAACCAGTCCGAATGTGAGTTTGTTCAAAAACTTTGTCTAAATGTTTATTTGGCTACTGGCTTAAAAGTCAGTTCAGAAGAAGAGCTTACATTCATATTAAAAACGATGAAAAAGAAACATTATTTTTATTTGTAACAACATGGACTGATTAATCATTGACAAGATGACCAGGAGCATGCATTTAGAAAGTAAATATCATCAGTTTTGATTTTATGTTAACTAAAGCCTGGAATACACTACACGATTTTTGGTTGCGTCCGAAAGCCTAGGCAGCTGACTTGCTGCCTTATGAGGCAATGACTTTGCAGCCAGTGTTGGCACCTCATGAAACTGATTTCGGACAGGCTTCTGAGGCAGCGTAATGGTTTAATGATCTACAACAAAATAGAACGAGTTTTGGTGATAACTAAACGAATATTGAATTACTGTAATACTGATTTCTCGCCAGAAATAACATTAAAAGTGCAAACAGTTAGTCTGAAATATATATTTACACATAAACTGACCACCAAACGCAACTTTCAGACGCCATCTTTATTTTTTGGCTCAACCGTCACGGAATGGAACGCACAGGATTGTGGGATATCAAAGGCAGCGAAGGATACGTCTATGCTGCCTTCAAAATTCGATCAGAAGAAGGTACCTCCGGAGACAGGAAGTGAAGCAGAATTTGGATTCGGACGTGCCTTGATGCCTTCCTGCCTTGTAATGCTGTCTCTGAAGGCAGCATTTTTGAGCTTTCGGGCGCAGCCATTGTTTGCTTGCTGACGGGTACACGAAAGCAGGAACATATCACCCCCGTTCTCGCCTCTCTCCACTGGTTACCTGTCCATTTTAGGATTCAGTATAAGATTTTGGTATTTGTTTTTAAATCTCTTAATGGTTTAGCGCCTAAATATCTGTCCGACTTGATCAAGCTGTATGCTCCGCTAAGAGCACTTAGGTCTATTGACCATTTGCTTTTAGTTGTCCCACGGGTAAAGTTGAAGAGCAGGGGTGACCGAGCATTTGCAGTGGCGGCCCCGAAGCTCTGGAAGAGTTTGCCCCTCTACATTAGACAGGCTCAAACACGTGCTGTTTTTAAATCTAGCCTAAAAACTTATTTTTATAGTCTGGCATTTGACGCTACTTGAGAGCTGCTTTCTTTTGTTGTCTTTATGGTGTCTTATTGTCTTCTTTTGTGTTGTTGATTGTTTGTATCATTGATATTTTTTATTCTTTTATGTGTGCACAGCACTTTAATAAACACTTGCTGTTTTTTAAAAAGTGCTTTATAAATAAACTTTGACTTTGACTTTTCATTTGTCATGCGTCTCCTAGCAACAAGGCACACGTTTATGCATGAGTTTGTTGTGATCGGAACAACTTCAAAGTTTGGTAGTGTATGATCCTCAGTCGTTTAGTGCAGTGTTTCCCAGCCGGGGTGTCGCGGCCAATAATTAGAGATGCACCGAAATTTCGGCTGCCGAAAATTAGTTCACCGCTCAGGTTTCACTTTCACGTGGTGTGACGCTTTGCATATTATCCCGCTCTATGCGTGTGTGCGCTCCACTCAGTCGCTCCACTCGTATACCGTTCAAGCTCATCGGAACAGCAAAGTCCACTCAAAAATTGAGCCGACAGGAAACATCGATGTCGTACAGTATTGTTTCTGTCTGCAATAGCCCTACTGTGTTGTAACAAGGTGTGGTAAATGGGCAACTCTGGTAACGCTGCCCTCTCATTCATTGATCTGCTAACCGTTATGCTCACATGTCCTCTGATAATAATAGCTTTCTAGGACTAAACATTATTTGGATAATTGGTAAAAAAAAACAAAAAAAAAGTTAAATATCTTAACCCTACTGTTAGACCTACCTGAAAAACTAAAAAGCAATTTATTTAATTCGAAGGCCTGTCGTTATTTTTTATTTGTGCTATCATTATTAATTTCTTTATTTCTTATTTTATTACTGACTGCTTACTTGTCATTTTTTATTCAATTCAAAGTTTGTAATCAAGCTATCTCGTGCTACTGCACCAAAATTACCCCACTGTAAAATAAAAAAAAACACTGAGTGAGCAAAAATATGTGAGATCGCTAGTTATAATGGTAATTAAATAATGTTTACATATGTATAAAAGCCTACATTAAAATCTGTCAAATAAATTGGTCTCTTCATTAGAAATTAGCCTACTGATTGCCACCATTGATGGTTTTTTTAATAATATTAAAAATATCTGTATGACATTATATTCTGCAGTTCTTCCCTGTTGTACCGAATATCTACACTTTTCAAATGATCATATGGAAGTTACAAAATTACAAAATACTAAATTAATTTTGTAGGGTGCCACAAGTTTGTTAAAATTTCCAAAGGGTGCCGCGACTAAAAAGAGGTTGGGAAACACTGGTTTAGTGTATGATGGACAGTTTTCCTCTGTCACTATTTTAAAAAAGTCGGTAAGTGTATGATGCCTAGTGTTTTAAAATCTGTTCAGATTTGAAAAGTCCTGTCTGTGGTGTATTCCAGGCTTAAGATGTTTTTTAGTTTTTTTTTAACGAAGCCTCTTATCCTCAGCAAGGCTGCATTTATTTGATCAAACATACAGTTAAAACAGTAATATAGTGAAATATTTTTTACAATTTAATAAAAACTTTGTATTTTAATATATTTAAATGTTCTTTATTCTTGTAATATAAAAGCTGAATTTTCAGCAGCTATTAGTCCAATTTATATTATCTATGTTAAAAACAGTTGTGCTGTTTAATTTTGAATCCATTATACTTTCTTCAGGATCCTTTGATGAATAGAAAGTTCAAAAGAACAGCATTTATTTGAAATAGAAACATTTTGTAACATGATAAATGTCTTTACGGTCACTTTGAACAATTGAATGTGTTTTGGCCTAATAAGTGTGAAAAAAAAATTACTGACCCCATGAATTTTTCAAAATGTGCTATTTACATGCATGACATTTTTTAATGAGGGTAAAAAATGACTGAGTGAACCTTGTTATTTTGACATTTTAAAAGATATCTCAAATAAATCTGTCCATAATACAGTGGGAATTTTGCTTTTCTCTCTCTTCTCGTCTCTCTCCAAAGAAAAGTTTATGGTGTATCACATAAGCGCTTTGATGTATAATATTATCTGTTTGATTTCCAATATCATCCGTGTATAATGGTCGCAGTCTCAGGTTTTTCTCGAACGGGCTCGATGGCCGGCTTTTATGTGACCATTCAAGGCCATCCCAGCGCTATTCAGTAATGCTGTGAATGCAATTCCTTGACTTTTACAGAACAATAGTGATGGAGGGAGGGGGTTTACAGAGGAGAGGACGTTTAGAGTGGCTAAATCAAAGCGTCTCGCACACAGCTGCAGTTTCTATTGAATCGGCCCCAGTCCGAGGTTATGATTTAGTCTCATCTCTGATATACTGTATATGTCTTTTTTACCCCTCTTCTTTATTCCCGCATTTGCATCTCCAATCCCCCTAGCATGCTCTTCCTTGTTCCTCCATGTGGATACCAGTGCAGGGCCGCACACTGAGAGCTCTGGTTCTTTTTGCTTGTGAACTAAAACCCATTTATGCCACCATCCCTCCCCCTCCCCCCCCCCCTCCTTCTCCCTCACCCCCC